TGGGTCTCTGGCTTCTGGCTGGGCTGATTCAAGATGTTTCTTCTTAGGAGACTACTTGTATCAAGGTTGGAGGAGACTGGAGCAGGCCTCTCACTTGTCCCCACATATTCTAACCCCATGAGAAATGCCAGCTCGCCCTGGGCAGCCCCCTGGCTTCGCCTCACCTCCCACTTCCCCAGGCAGGCTGCCCAGGCCAGGATGCGGATGAGAACTGTTAACAGACACTCTTTAAATATTTACCCACACTTTCTCTGGGCGGTTTCCCCCATCCCCAAGGCAGGGTAAATTCAAGTTAATTCTAATGAATAAAAGAACCTTAGTCCATCAGCACCCTTCTTTGGCCATGTGTGTGTGCAGTTTTGTAGGCTGAACACAGAGAGAAAAGGGAGAAAGTGAGAGAGCCGTGGAAATGTGCACTGTGTGCGTGTGAATGAAGAAGAGGAAGAATGATTTTTCCAGTCCTCCCCCGATAGTATGTGGGGTTGTTACACACAGGGCGACACTGAGGCGCACGCGGGGTAAACACATACTTATGTGCCACCACCCACCCTGAAAAACATCAGATGCATGCTCAGGAAACGATCATGCCTAGAAGCACCCCTGTCACTTCACAGATATGTGCACACACATGCACACCCAGGAACACAGGAAAATAATACCTGACAAACACACACACAGCTTTAGCTCTTTGCCTCATGAACAAATTTGCTACCTATTTTCCTTTCACATCCTGGGGTTTCAGGGTTGGGTGAGGAAGGGGGCAATTAGGAAGCCAGATATTTTTCTTCCCCACCCAGAGCTCAACTCTGGGGATGGAGGGAGGGATGGCAGTGCAGGGAAGGGTGATGTTAAGAGAATGAGCCTCCCCACCCCATCCCTCTATTATCCAAATAATTGCTGGGGAAATGGCCACCCTCAGCCAAATTCCCAAAGAAGAGTCACTGATCCCTCAGCAAGAGACTTCCACTATCCCCTGAATTTACAGAAACCCACCCCCAGACTCTCTGAAACCCAGAACATGGACCCTGGAGCAGCAGGAGGGGAAGGTCAGAGGAAGGCTGTGTGCCAGGGCCGCAGGTCGCCTTAGGGCCCAGGACAGTGGAGGGCACCACGGGGGTCTCCTCCACGACCAGAGCCCGATCCGGCCTTGGTTCCAGCCCTGCCTTCTCTGAGCTTGCTCTGCAGTACTGAGCTGAACGAGATGGACTCTAGGCTCCCAGCATCTGGGTCGCTGGGGACTGTCATAAATACTTTCCCTCCCCTGCCTGGAAAGAGGAGGCTAGCAGGCCGGATCTGCTCTGGGGCCTGCACCTTATCTTTTAGAGGGTGGGGGGATATCTCTACCATTTATGGTCTAGCGAAATCCCTGCCACACAGCTATTCTTCCGGGTCTTTGTGTCTTGGAATGCGACTGTCCCGAGGGTGCTGCCCCCACCGCCTGCTCCGAGATAGAGCCCACTAGTCCTGAGGTCCCCGGCTGGACTTGGTTTCCCCTTTGGGAGGTCCTTCGCCTTTTCTTTGTGTCTCTTATTTGGTTGCTTTTTCTTTGACACATAACTGGTTGATTTCGCTTCGGGAGCCTGGAAATAAAGAATCGTCCTCGCTGGGGAGTCTCTGTCCCTGCCTCGAGGCCTGCACCGCCCTTCTAGGTACCACGGATTTATGTTCGTTGGTCTCGGTCATTCTGCGTTTTTGTGTTAATTATGCGCTGCCTGCTTCCTTCTTATCTCCTTCGCAAAGCGATTATTTTCGACGCCCACCTCCTGAGCCTCCCTCCAGAACCTGCTGCCAGAGCTAGGGCACATCTCCCGCCGCCGCTCGCGATTTATTTACACTTCGCAGGTGAGAGGATTGATTTGCTCAGAGCCCGCAGGGCCGGGCTGGACCGGGGCGCGGGGCCTTCTCGCCGCTGCTCGGAGGCGCGGGGCCTCAAACGTCAGTGCGGCCAGGCCGGCCGGGGAACCGCCGCCGCATCTAATATTGAGCAACAGCGCCACCTCGCGTCCACTTGCTCCAATGCAGTCCAGCCGGGGAAAAAAAGCCAACGGATAGAGCAAGCAGGTCTCAGGCTCGGCCCAAAGGTGGAAAGGGGAAGGAAGGAGTTTCCAAAAGGGTGCNGGGGGGGGGGGGTGTCCCTGGAAGGGAGTTCCCCTCGGGACCTCTGTGCGTTTGTTTTTATAAGTTCTCAAGATAAACCTCGTCAAAGGTTTCACACTATTCTCTCTTTTTGTCACCTCTTCCCGCATTGAGACACTGTGCAAAGGAACAGCCGCATCTTTCCTCCTCCCCCCTTCAGGCGCATTTCTGGGCTGGGAACACCTCCACGAACGCAGATACGCGCTCTGAAGCTCCCGCGACCGCCTGACCAAGGCGCGCACCCTGAACTCCTCGATCTTCTTACCCTGCTGCTGGTTCCGCACCGCCTTTTCCGCCGCTGCCCGCCGGACTTTGGGGTGGGACTCTGACTTCTCCCGGCTGTTTGCCCCCTGGTTTGTAGCCCATCCCTCTCTCGCGCGCGCTCTCTCCACCTCTCCTTCCCAGCCAGTGAGGTCCTGTTCTCCGTGGGCCATAGACAAAACATTCCTATAATCTGATTTCAAAGGAAAGAGTGTCCACCTTATTTAAACCATAAAACAATTAAGCCCAGACGTCTAGCCAGCTCCGCGCTGCTGTTTTGTTCGGCCCCATTCAGAATCCAGCGCAGGGAGACAAACAGCGCCATAAAAGTGGCATTTCGGGGCTGCGGAAATGTACCTATCCTCTGCCTTTCCAAGTGGAACAACCTTTAGGGTTTTGTGATTCTGACAAAGGAGCAGAGGAGAGGTGGGAGGGGAAGATTAGGGCAGGAGGGCGTTTGCTAGCCCCCCTTTACCCCCAGCTTTCGTTTCTTTCCCCAGATGTGTGTTGTGTTAGGGTGGTTTTAACTCACAAATTATAATAAATAAAAATTGAATCCAATCCTGACCTGCAGGCGACTGAGCTGATACTGAACAGTGGGCCGGGCGGGGTGGGTCTGCCCGGGATCCCACGCTCTCCTCAGGGCCCTCCGGCCGGAGCCCTGCAGCCCTCCTTCCTGCCCGGACTTAGCCGGCTCCCGCAGGCTGCAGGAAGCAGGCCCCGCTGACAGACAAGGGGAGGCGACAGGGCCTTGGAGCAGGGGCGGGGTGGAAGCCCAGAAAGGCCGCCAAGCTCAGGACTGTGAGAGAAGCCTGGGTCCCCGTGGTCAGGACTGAGGCAGATGGGTGCCTTGTTCTCCAATGGGTGCGGAACTGAGGCCAGGGTAGCAGAACAGGAAAATGGCCAAGGGAAGGAGAGAGGACGCGGGGAAAGCGAGAAATCTACAGGCAAAGCACCTTTCAAAAGGACCAAGGAAACAATCGCTTCTGGAATTGGGGAGGATGTCTCTTAAGCCGGGAAAGAGGAGACAGTGCTTCGGCGACAGGGAAAACCACACCGTTGTTGTCGACTTTTGATTGCCCACCTTAAAATATTATTAAAACAAAATGTTCGCCCCTTCTCACCTTCCTCCAGCCCCCAACATTGCAGTGTTTAATGGAAGGAGGGAGTAGGACATTCAAATGATGGGGAGGGGCTGGTCCCTACAAGTGCCTCACCAATCCTATAAGGTGATGCAATGGCCCAGGGAGCTGCACTAGGGCTGGGGTCCCCAATTATTTTCTTTTATGATATACCCCAAGTATTCACAGCAGCACCCTGCATGCGCCCTCTCCAGAATGGGCAGCTTAGATATTAAAGGGCTATATTTCAGGCAGTCTGAGTTTAATAGTTTCCAGATTGGGGGATTTCCGAGAAAGGGGGCGCCTAGGCAGAGGCATACCCGGCAGCTTGTGTCTGCTTCTGATTAGCAGATGGAAACTGCCAGCTCTGGGGAAGGCACTCTGGGGTACAGTGCAGCTGACCAGCCCCACCAGGCTGTTACACACACATCTCTGCATCCTTATGCCTGGGGTCCCACAACCACCAGAGAACATTCCACGCCTGCCTAATCCCTGAGTAGCTTCCTTGGGCCCCTGGCCACACCATCCCCCAGAAATGCTGCAGCTGCACAGCATAACCCCTGCACCCCCAGACCAACACTCAAACCGAACATTAGAGAGACAGAGAAGCTGAGAATGCAATGAGAAGTAGAAACTAAATCTAATTCTGACTGTATTGGCTTTAGCATCCTTCTCCTTCTTTCCTCCCGCTCCCCCCCCCCC